ATATATATATGCAAATTTTCGCCAGCCAACGACCAATCTGTATTGTAATCTTTACTGTGTAGCACATACATCAAATTGTAGAGTGCAACCGGTCTGAATTGCCTATTGGCTCCGCTATTTGTTGTATACCAGTTTACATTAAATCATATACCACCGTCGTGGTTGCGTGACATCGATGTGCACTCCGAGGCAAATACTAGACACTGCCCTTACACTTTTGCAATGTTAAGGCAAATTCAGATTAAAAACTAAGCTTTTATTTCATAGAATAACATTAACTAATTTAAAACAACCTATCACTATATATACCAAGGCCTATTTATCAGTAAGTTCTTTCCCTCCTACCTCGGAATTGTCTATGTCCCCTTGCACCCGGACGTTCTAGATACCTCACTCCCAGACCTAACAAACATGACGTTCCCATTATCTCCCGGCAGCCGTAAGACACTACTGGCGCTAAATGAGCCCAGCGACCTGCTCTTAAATGAAGATGCATCGATACGTCCAACCCCACCGCAACTGCCTTCAGAGGTCATAAGTCCCTGCGATCTCTTAACCATGGTGCGCTTGTCATTGATACATTCAACGTCAGATCCTCGCCGCTACCGTCGTCCCCGCTGGCCTCGCCCGCTTCGATATCCGTCTCCTTTTCGCGGATTCCCGCGTTGATATGGTCTTTCACCAGCGTGTCGATATCCTTTGTACCCCCCCCAACTTTATCACCCTCCAATTCCACCCTAGAGCTCGGCACAAGTCTGGTATCGTAGCGCACATCGTCAATAGTCGCGTTGTCGATTCGCCCACGTCTCCACTTGTTCTGTATTGGGGTGCCTTCTTCACCGAGCGCCCTGTCAGTGTTTTCGCCAGCGGTGGTATGGCCCGATCCATTGTTCTCGCGATCCCACATGATGAAGATATTACGCGCCCAGATAAACAGCACTACCACGCTCAAGCAACAGAAGGATACGAAATCTATGGTTACCCAAATAGATGCATTTTCTCCGTACATCTCATCCTGAAATTTATAAAAAGAAACGAAAATATTGGGTTACTTCGAGCGAGGTAAGGTGCTGTTAGGCAGAATCGCCTTGAGGATTTAGAACAAAATGCTAGTTTGTAATTGTGTATTGACCCTCGAGCCGAGCGGAAGACCAGCACTGACAAGCAACATTGTATGCATATGAGATGCACATCTCCGTGAAGAAAAAGGATACGAAGACAATTGCATCAATCTCACGACCACCGTGACTATTGGCAAAAGACCATGTATCTCGCAATAAATATATCTTACAATGACCTGATAGTTACAACAGCAAATTACGAAAAACCTCGTCAGAGTCCGCGCAAATGTATGCAAGTCATAAAGGCTCTGAATTTCAAACCTACCGGGAAGCCGTAGTATCGCACATTATCAAATATGACGTAGAAGGCCAGGGTAGCTCCATAAATCACCAAGGTCTTAGTCTCAGACAGTTGGTGTTGCTTCAACTGACCACGCTTTTGCCATAGCTTGAAGGTGAACAGCATCATTACCGCGATCAACAGGCAGTAGTAAGCAACGGCTACGTAGTCAGCTATCACACTTTGGGTAAACGTCAGGACAAGGTACATAATCAACACTGGTATGTTCAAAACCAGCACTGTGCCTGACATGAAGGCAGTAGTCAAGTATCGCACATTCACTGAACCAGGATGTACCCAGCCACGTATGCTGGGATATCCATAGCAAATGACAATAAGTCGCCCAGCTCGTACCAGCTCCCCGGATACTGTTAAACTTTGTCCGAAAATGTCTGTGTGGTGTTGGTGAATGAAGGCATCATAATGAGTCCCACGTTTTTTCAGCCACTGACTATAGCACAAAGTTGATCAAATTATCTGATGTATGCTGTATAGCACAGAGCTAATTGCACCATCATTTTATATTATCTAGTATATACAGTTTATGAATGAGCTTACACTAGTCACAGCAAACTATATATGAATACAGGCACAGCTTGCGTAGTCATATACATAAATACACATAGACAAGGTGTGCAATGGCATATGTTTTACGTATTCAAATAGCTCCATATGTAGATCGCGTGTCATAGATGTAGATAAGTTTTGTGTAACTGCATTGAACATATATATCTTATACAAATAGAATACAAATATATCTGAACATCAATTTAAAAACCAATCGCAATATGAAATACATTTTATACTCATTCATATATATATATATACATGTATATATATATGTATATATATATATATAAATGAATATATATATACATATATGCATATATACATATACACACAAATATACATCACATGCACGTATACATATATATATATACTTATATATACATATATATATTAAATATATATATATATATTTATATATATAAATTTTATATATATTAT